CCTGTGACACGGCTGCCCCGACTTAAACTCAGGACCGACTGAGTCTGGCATTATTAAATTAGACATCAAATGAAACTATTTTATGCAGAAATGTACTAATATAATAAATTTATAGCTATGCGATTTTAGCTATGCCGGGACTTCGTCCGCGTCGAATTTATAATAAATAAAATTTCTAAAATAAAAGTAGCCAAGTTACTCCTTATTACAACGGCTATCTGCCAGTGAGAGTTCCGTCAAAATCGGGAACCAACAGACAGATAAAAATCGTAAAAAATGTTATTTTGGTATATGTACCGTGTATACATATGCATTTAGTAAACAACAGTTATTTTAATATTACAAACAGACAATTTTATTTATCTGTATGTATACATAGATACAATTACGTTCCCCGACTGGACTGTGTGTTAGGTGTCCCTACGTCATAACTGACCGAGGGTGCATTTACGGGAGAGGGTGGCGGGCGAGTAACCGGTTTGATTGATTTGGCGTCGTTAACCGCGGCAATGGACACCATAGCTGTACGATGGTCAACCTTAGAGAGGCTGGACCCTGATCACGTATGCCACCATTTCCACTTCACGCCGGTCTTCTGTGAGGTCGCGGCACTTCAGCAGACGTGCCTACCCGTTCAGGCGACAGCTGAAGTCGGTCTTTGCCGTAAATTATGGTCATATATCAGGTTGGCCCCGTGGATGGTCCCAACGTGTTAAAGGATGCATGGACATTAAACAAAGCGATAGAAAGACGCTTACATAATATATCATTACGCTTACATAATCATAATTATTTGATTTGTCTTATAATCAATTTTATCGATACTAATAAATGGAGAGCCGGTTTTTTTCGTTGTACTGCGAAAGTTACTGAACCGATCGTAATAATACCTATACCATGAGATGCAGCGTGTTTCGGAGAAGGTTTTAGTATATATGTTGGTGATTACTTATCCAGCGAAGCGGGCGGGGGAAGTTTTGTATTAAACTAGCGACCCGCCCCGGCTTCGCACGGGTGCAATGTATTATACATATATACCTTCCTCTTGAATCACTCTATCTAGTAAAAAACCGCATCAAGATCCGTTGCGTAGTTTTAAAGAACTAAGCAAACATTGGGACAGACAGACAGCGGGACGACGTCGTTTTATACTATGTATAGTGATAACAAAACCAATCAAAATCATATAGATTATTAAAAAAAGTTCACGTATATAGTATGACAAAATTTAATAACAATAAAATTGTAGACTATAAAATAAGTATCAAAGTCTTGGGGATGATATGTAAACTATTATATTATAACATGCCTAATAATAAAAGTCCATTTTTAAGAGTTCTTGTCAGTCTTTCTGTCGTATGTTTGTTTAACTAACTATGGACAAAACGGATTTCAATGAGAGTTTATAGAGTTTGAAACCTCAGTTCATATTTTCTTATTATTACGTCGGTAAGATCGAAAAATATTACGCATATTTCATTACTCAGTAATTTGTATCTAAATGTAATTTCAAAAACACACGACTCCTCCGGGTACTTACATTTATTCTTTCAATAAAATTATGGTTTGTGCTCCTTCGCCTTCATTACATCAGTTTTTTTAACTTTATGATTTGTGCTCTATCGTGTTCATTACATCATATATCTATATACAATGATGTTTTTCTTTTTTTCTGTTAGACAAAATTTTTTGGACTAAATTTGCCGGCCCCTAAAATCTGCCGCCCTAGGCTCCACTTAGCCTATTGGTAAATCCGCCACTGGTCAGCATGCTTACTAGAACTTCGTATTTGTGTACATAGTCCCCGTGGATGGAATCAATTAGTTTTTATGAACTACAAAAAAAATTCTTCATCCTTTCTATATGGCTTCTCTTTAAAGAATTCTGCCAATGTCAAGTCAGTCATGGGAGTGACTGAAACTTTGCTAATAACATTAAACTATAAGTGTCTGTCAATATTAACACACTATAATTACGCCCGGTTTCTGAAGCACTGATCATCGTAGATGTCAACTAATCAGCCGTCAAATGGCTTTTCAAATTTCATTTTAGTTGCCAAAAGGATGGTTAAACTCTTTGGATTGATCGTTCTGATCATAAGAAGATCATTCTGGTCAATTCAGAGAGTTTAACCGTCCTTTTGGCAACTAAAATGAAATTTTAAAAGCCATTTGACGGCTGATTAGTTGACATCTACGATGATCAGTGTTTCAGAAACCGGGCGTAATTATATCTATTTTAACATAATTGTTTGTCTTTCGTTTCAGGTAATTCACCAGAGTATTATCAAAATTTATTTCTTTTTCGTGCCTATAATCTCCTCGTTTTTCGCAAAGTACTTTTTTCTCTTAATTATTCACTATCTAAGCTTAAACTTTTTTTTTAATGTGATAAGTTGCCAAACGAGCAGGCGGTTCACGTGATGGTAAGTGAATACCGCCGCCCATGGACATCTGCTACACCCGAGGGTTACAGATGCGTTGACAACCTTTTGAAAATTGGGCTCCGGCTATCTCACTCACCAGACGAAACGCGGAAGTATTTGTCATACTTCCACTTTACGCTGGTCTTCTGTGAGGTCGTGGTACTTACCCGGACGGGCCTGCCCATTCGTGCAACAGCCGAGGCTGCTGCGTGGCCCTACCACCGTAAAACTGATAAAGTATCTTTCACATGTCATTAGCGAATTCATAAAAACGCCATAAAGGAAAGAAGAAGAAGACTAAAACTTTAAAATTTATAACTTGAATGAATATAGTACGTGCTAAATAAGCTTTTATTAATATTAAAATCAGGTCGATTAACCAACCCGCCATCTATCGACATAATTAAAAAGCCGCTTTACCATAAAACCCAGAATGTAGCGATTGTATAAAGTTCACTATTTCCGTAACAGATGTCACCACTCACTCAAGAATCGAAACAGCCTCAAATATTTCTGCGTTGGTCTCCTTAGTGAGATGACCAGGGCGGACTTTATTAAATGGCGGCAATGCTCTATAGTCCAAACTACCATATGAATATAACAAAAAGAAGCAGAGTTTCTTGCCGGTTCTTCTCTGCGCGGGTCTAGTTTAGTGAACCGGTGGTAGATTTTTTGTTGATGTTCAATAAGACTTTAAGTTAAGCCTATATTGAATAAAGATACTTTGACTTTCACTTTTGAATAACTACTATAGAGTACCTTTATCACTCAAATTGTTTTGGCGCATGAATATAAAACACAACAATTATTGTTTTTAAATAAAGTAATATATACACTTTTTTAACAGGCTAAAATGAAGAGGCTGAAAAATGGATAAGTTACTGAGGTTGTGGTTCAAATCTCAATGTGCCCCGCATTAAGTAGTTTCTCTTTATTTCTCATTGTTTTATAGTATATTGTGAGGAAATTAGATGGACAGGGATCATGAAAAGTTGTTATCTAAATCTACCAGCCAGCATAAATAGTCAGCTGTGCATTTTTATGCATATATATACATTGTTATAGGCTTAACAAGTTCAGTTAATGGAGGTATCAGTTATCACAGACACATTCAATCAGGAATTAGTCATATGCGAGATTGTATTTGTAAAGAATATAACATTAGTTGGTTTGTAAAGATGGTAAATTGACTATTGGCCTGGTGAATATTGTAAAAAGTAAGCTTTTTTTCTGTTCTGATGTGAAAATTACCACTTGTTTTCAAGCTAAATACAACATTAAGAGCTTTAAGTGAAGCAACAACCTCTCATTTTATTTGTAAATGTAATATACAATATGTGATAATTAAACAAATATTTTAGGACACATTTTTACACAACATTTTTTAGTCCCAAAGTAAGCAACTCTTGTACTATGGGTACAACATAAGTGATAAACATACTTTAAAATACTTATCTTTTTGTAAATAAATACATGTTAAAAATATATAAACACTCAGAAAGTAGAAAAACAATATACTCATCACATAATATTTTAACATAGTGGGGATCGAACCCACACCCACTGATGCAAAAAGCAGGTACACTACCCACTACACCATTTGGGTCGTCAATTAAGCTTTATTTAGTCCCAAATCTGGTAGGCAGTCCTATTTGCATACACTACCAAAGTGGACAGTTACAATTTTAAAATAAGAAATATGAAAAAATTATAATTCAATAATATATGCCAAGGGGATTAAGCCCACATGTAACATAAAATTTTACCAAAAATTTTAGTTGGTTAAGAAAAATCAGTAATGATATAATCAACAAGCAGAATTTGGCGGTCGCTTATAGTTTTCGAGAAAAAAAAAAATATTTAAAACTTGTTATTTTCACTAAATAAATCCACCATTTTGTGTTTGACAACATATATAAATTTACAAATTCACACACTTTTCCAAATTATAACCTTAGCGTTATTAAAAAAAGAGTATTTAAAAATACTAAAAGTACTGTAACACTAAAGTTTTCTGGGTGGTTATAAAAAAAATAACCACGAAGGCTGCAGCTCCCGCCTTAACCTTCCAACCTAACCTATCCGAGTCGGATTGCTCTGTGTCGGATCTGTCACTCTTTAAATTAAAAGAAAATTAATCTTCGTCCACTTCCCATATTTATCATGTTGGCGGTACTGTGTATTCAGTTTTTGAAATCAAATTGGTAAAATGATGAACTTTCTTAGTGAAAATTACGTTTTAAATAAATTTTTTTTTGAAAACTATAAGCGACCGCCAAATTCTGCTTGGTGAGTATTTTGTTAATGATTTTTCTTTACCGAATAACATTTTGTTTACGTCGAAAAACACCCGAAAACTTAAGGAAATTAATACTAAATTTTGTTTGGTCGAAAACACCCGGAAACTGATGGAAATTTTTACCCCGTTACGTTTTCTTGATACAATTGAGCGCTAGATCTTATTGATATTTAATTGACACCTATAGCTACACAGTTATTACGATAACATAACCTAAACAGCAGCTGTCAAAGCAATACATATTATTTATACTTATTGTTTAAATCAGTTACTCACTTCTTGCTCCTGATTATGACATTTCTCCTGTAGTTCCTTCAACGAAGGGCCTATTCCGGAGTCTTCTGTATCAATATCCTGCGCAGTATTCTCAGATAACACTTCCGAAGCAAAATTCGAGATTTGTCCCTTCAAACTGTTAAAACTCTGGTTCAAATTCAACCACGACATTTTGGATAAAGATCTTTGGGTCACAAACGCGAAATCACAAGGGAAGATACTCCATAGAAATATTTTGCCAAAAACTATGTAAACAATAAATAAATAACATTTTTCAATTGACAGGACTTTGTCCAGTTGGCAAAACAAGTTGACATTGATAAAATAAAACGTTTCGCTTCATTTCAAGTTATCGTTTTCGTCCTTCTAATTTATTAAAATAAACAGTAATACAGTCTAGCTTAAAATTATTTTCTCATACGTGATACGAAAATTACAATATGTGTGTAGCAGAACGAATATAATATTTTATTGCCCATAAACGTCTCTTTGCAGTTACATTAATATGTAAACTTCATAACTATTATGTTCCCTATATAATTATTAACGGCGAAGTACGTAGTCTGTGAAAGGAGCGTCAGTGGCGCCATGATGGCTGTCGGGCCTATGGAGTTTGACATTGTGTCATTTTTATTCCATTTTCACCATTTAAATAGTAGTTTTTCACAAAAACCTACGCTATTTAGTTGAAAATTCCATAAGAGCTCAAGTGTTACTTCCATGTGATCAATTTTTATCGTCAGTAATAGTGTATAAAGACCAAATTCGTTTCACAGAAAAATGGAGCCAAAACTAACAAACACCAAAGGATTTAAAACATATTTGAATTATCGCAATAAAGCATCGAAATGTTCGAATGCAGTTACTTCTAAGGATAATAAGAATGAACCTTTAACTACTAAGGATGCCGTAAGGTTTTTATTGCAAGGAACCCTGAAATGGAGGGTTTGCCGCTTTTGCTTGTCCACGACGACGAATTTATCGGAATTGGATGAGATTCTTGAAGTAGCTAGCTCCGGAACCATGTATCAAGTCACTATAAGGGATATGATCGCTAGTTTTTATCCATTTCAGGTTATGTTCTGTTACCTGCTTCTCCTATATTTTGTAGCAATAGCTATGACATACACTATTTGACACTTTCTTTATTTTTCACTTTATAGCGAATTATATGAGAGACAGTCAAAAAATATTAAATTATACTGTTGTGAATTGCTGAAAAAAAATTCTGAATATTTATAAAATATAACAGTACTTCGAGATAAAAAAAAACGTTTTTAATCTTAAAGTAGCTTTTTAATCTTGTAATGAGATTTAATGTTGTTTTAACTTTGGGCAATATGCTTTGAAGGTATTTTGTCAAAAAGCAATAAACATGATTTATGAATGCTATTTTCATTTGGAGAATTGTATCATAAATTTGAAATATGTGTGTTCATCAGCTCAAATATCGCGACATTAGAATATTTTGTACCCATCCTTATTTATTTTATAAAGTTTTTTTGTAATTACAGGTGGCTGATGATCCAAATTTTCCTAATAAAATATGCAGTAAATGCTTAGACAGAACAATTAACTCTTACCTGTTCACACAACAGTGTGAAAGAGCCGAGCGAGCACTGCGTAACTGCTTCAATGATCTCAATGAAAAGTTTGATAAGCTTGACCCACTTGAACGGGTAAAGCGACGGGGCAGACAAAAATTGCACCCAAACCACAATGTGTTGTATGCTGACTATAAAATGGTTATGGGCTATGCAGATCCTATTATAAATATAATCAATGTTGGTGCATCCCGTGAGGAAGAAGAGGAAATGGAGATAAGTGAATTGGAATGTCCCAAGTGCTGGCAGGTGTTACCGAATATAGAGTCTTATGTCAACCATGAGAAAAGTCATCCAAAGTCCATGTGGTATAATTGTCGTCTTTGTGGCAAGTCATTTGTGAAGCATTCCCAATATAAAAAACATATAAAACAATGTCGAACACATAGAGTTATGCCAGAAACTGATACAAATAGGAAAGAATTTAAGTGCACAGAATGCGGATCACTTACAGAGGAATTTGGTAAACACCTGCGGCATATAGAGAAACACAAATTTAAGAATGTTCTTGAACACTTGATTGAAAAGAGAATGGATGATTTTTGTGGAGTTTGCATGGATAAGGGAGATGGATCACAGATGGTGGAATTGAATGAAACATTTCATTTACATGCCGGATACCCCGAGTTAACAGGGGAAAGGACACTAGCTAGAGTCTTAAAGGAAACAGTGCCAGAGGTATGTGTATAATATTATTTTATGGTGTTAATGGTGGTAGGGCCACACAGCAGCCTTGGCTGTAACATGTATGGGCAGGCTTGTCTGGGTTAGTACCACGACCACAACACAGAAGACCGGCGTAAAGTTGAAGTATAATACTTTCATGTTTCGTCTGGTAAGTGAGATAGCCAGAGCCCTCAGGTGTAGCAGGTGTCCATGGGCGGTGGTATTCGGTTAACATCAGGTGAACCTCCGGCTCGCTTGGCAACTTTTCACATAAAAAAAATATTTTTTAAGTTTCCATAACACTTCATACAAAGTATTGCTTTTATAATGAGTCAAACACTACAATGAATATTTTTATTTTTTTATATACTTTCAAACCAAAACATCATCATTCTCCTGCAATAACTTAATCATAGAATTAATTGAGTTTCTATGCTGTTGTACTGGGGAGCATCCTTTGTTTTCAACTTAATGTGTCAACTATTTATGAAGCAAAAAAATTTTAGTCCCATATGGGGATCAATCCCCCGCACAGTAAACAGTGGCAATTAGCAGACTACCTGACCAACTAATCACATGTATGTATATTAGTAATGTGTTAAAATATTCAATTAAACATTATTGAGCAATACATAAGTAGTTAACAATAGTTGTATTTAAATATGGTAAAATGTAATAAAAGGGATAATCAGTTAATTAACTAATAGAATGGGTTATTAAAGTTGACTTCATTAATTTATATTATGATACATAGATATATCATACATATGTCTATATGTAGGTAGTGTCCAAAATTATGGTGAGTGTATTTTTGTTACAAATTATTATTATTATTATCGCTTTTTTGTTTTTAATTGTATGAAAGTGTATGGCTCTAAGATGGTTTAAATTCTACAATTTGATTATTGCTATGGTGTTGTAATCCTTTTCTAGAAATCATACAAATATGAGGAATTGTATGTGGCTCAAAAAGCAAATATCCTAAAAGTTACAAAGAGATGTAGGAATGCTTTGGATTCAGGCACATTCAATGCAGAGTATCAAAACATAAATCTGGTTTATAACTTGTATTACACAAATATTAAACACAAATATACCTATAAAAAAAATAAAAATAAAAACCTTTAATACTATGAAAACTTGGCTCTCTACAGGAATAAAAAAATCATGTACACATAAACGATTACTTAAAACATTGTTAAATAAAACCAATAATGAAATCCTAAGAGCTCATTTTAAAACTTACAGTAGAATTCTAAAAACGTGTATAAGGGTATCAAAAAAATTTGAATATATCAAACAAATGAAAAAATCTGATAATAAAACTAAAACTATGTGGAAAATTATTAACAGTAAAACTGGGAAAAATAAAGAAAGTTCAGTACAAAATATAACACTAAAAGTAAAAAACAAAGTGCTATCGTGCCCTCAGACCGTAAGTAATATATTCAATGAATACTTTGCTACTATAGGTAACTGTGATAGTGCCAATAACATAACAAATGGAAGGCCAGTGATAGACTCTCCAACAAACTCATTCTATTTGACCCCAACAAATCCAAAGGAAATTATACAAATAATAAAAAACTTAAAAAACAAACATAGTTGTGGTATCGATGACATACCTGCCATCCTAGTAAAACAATGCGCGGACATGCTAGCCCCCGCCTTAGCCTCACTTATAAACCAAAGTTTTGAGTATTGTCTTTTCCCAGATATGTTAAAAATCTCCCTAATTAAACCAATATTTAAAAAAAACGATCCACATCTACTTATTAATTATCGACCCATAGCTTTGCTTCCAACATTTGCAAAAGTATTTGAAAAGGCCATGTATAATAGACTGTACCACTTCTTGGAGAAATGCAAAGTTTTTGATGAATCTCAAAATGGCTTTAGAAAAAACAGATCTACAAACCCATGCTGTATATAAATACATACAAACAGCACTTCAAAACATAAATAATGGGAAGTATACCTTAGGTCTCCTATTAGATATGACGAAAGCATACGAAAAAGTCAAATATAACATATTACTAGCTAAACTTCATGGCTCAGGAATTCGCGGTCCGGCATATAAATGGTTTCAGTCATACCTCTCAGACAGAAAACAATTAGTCCAAATTGAACATAAAAATAACGAAAAGAATGAAATTATTTCCGTGCGATCCCAGATTCAACAACTTACATGCTCTATTCCCCAGGGTTCGGTCTTAGGGTGTTTGTTATTTTTGATCTACATTAACGACCTACCAAAAGTAATAAATAATGAGAATACCTTGACTATTGTGTTCGCTGACGATGTATCTGTTTTAATAAAAGGCGAAAATAATACCGACTATAACTCTGTTACATACAACACTTTACAAACTATTACTAATTGGCTTGGAGACCATAACCTAGAGATAAATTATGAGAAAACTAAAATTATGCAATTTAAAACATATAAAAGTCCATCATTAAATGTCAGTATAAATTTTAATGGTACAAAGTTGGAAAAAGTAGATTCATTTAATTTGCTTGGTTTAAATATCGATTCAAATATAAATTGGAAAACACATATTGATTATTTAAAAAGTAAATTATGCAAATTCACCTATGCTCTCTTCCAAATTAAATGCTCTACAGATACTTCCACCGCGTTATCAGCTTACTATGCCTACGCCCACTCATGGCTTATGTATGGCGTAATGTTATGGGGCAACAGTGTTGACGCTCAGGACTTATTTATCATCCAAAAAAAGTGCATAAGGATACTTGCACACATAGATAACAATTCTAGCTGTAGACCTTATTTCACAAAACTTAAAATATTAACTTTACCATGCTTATACATAAAAGATTTGTGTCTTTTTGTATTCAAAAATAGTCATTTCTTTAAAAAAATCAAAGATACTCATAACATTAACACACGTTATAAAAATAAATTATATTTACCACATTCTCGATTAAAAATGTTAAACAATAGCCCATACTACATGGCAATTAAAATACATAATAAACTACCAGATGAAATAAAGAATATAACAGAATTGCCTAAGTTTACATCCAAACTGAAATGTTATTTAGAACAAAACCCGTTTTATTCAGTAAAAGAATATTTAGAGCAATGAGGATAGAAAATCATTACCCCCCACTTAATAAATGTTTATATGTTGACTAGCATTTTACCTAAAATCTATTTGTGCCCCTATGGTGACTCACACACACACACACACACACATACACACACACACACACGGACACAAACATACATGCACGAAGGAATTGCTTTTGATCGTTTTGTATAATTTAGTTTTAATTTGAATTAGCTGATTTTCTTCTTTTTTTTTTTTTTTTTTATATATTTTTAAATCTAACCATATTGTTTGTTTCGAAACATTTTTCTTTCTTTTTATTATATTCATTTTGTGTTCATTTTCTATATTCATTAACTTAATTAAAGGAGCAGTGTCCATTAAAAAACTTGCAGTGCCTGGAAAAGGCATCTAAGTTTCTGTATAAATCTAACACCTATTTATATAATGTAAACTTAGATGGCAAATAAATAATTGTAATTGTAATTGTAATTGTAATTGTAACTAATATAACAGCAGAGACTGGGAATATTGCAGAAATCATTCAAAAAAGCAACATTACATTTAAATTCCCTCGGCCCTTAACTTTTGAAAATTTAGAAATAGGTAATGAAACCATGACTATTGATACCAATTCACTAAATAGTGCAGAAAATGTAAGTGATCAATTCAATCATAAAGATATCACAGATTCAAAACATCAAGGGAACAAATTAAATTTTAAAATTGGGAATGAAACTCTGTGCAAAACCTGTTGGATTTTCAATGATCCACAATGTGAAACCTGCATTAAGAAGTCGGCCTTGAGCAATCATTACAATTTATTGGATGATACTATTAAAAAAACAAAAAAATCAACTTGTGAAAATAAGCAAATGAAAGATTGTAATATGTGTTGGATATTTGCCAAAATTGGTAGATGTAATCTTTGCAAAACATTTATTGAGGACAGCTGCACAATAGAAGTAAGTGATATAGAAATAAGGGGTAAGATTCAGAAGAGAAGGAGAGATTTTAATGACAACCCTGAAAGTGCAGAAGCGAAGTTAAAATGGCGATGTAACATATGTTTCACAAGTAATGAAGACAGGGATACATGTGATTGTTGTGATATCCACAAATCGCAAGAGGAACCCGTCAAATTTAACTTTCCGAAAAACATTAATGATACAACAAAATTTCATTACCCTGCACAACTTGATGGTACCGTCAGTGATGACGATCATACTAACTATACCAGAAAGAATGATGAGAAAGAATTAATGGAGAAAAAGGAACATGATCAAGCTGTTACCATATTTAGGTCAACCGAAGTAGAAAAAAACATTGCAATCATAATTTCTGATGTGAATATGGAAGTGGAGGTAGAAAATTTAATGGAAACTGTGCACAAGAAAGTAATCAATATCAATAACATATCCATCGAACCAATGGATGTAAACTACAATGAAGAAAATATCGAAAAACAAATAACATGTCTACAGCAATCAACAAATCTGTATCCAATTGAAATGCCATGCTTGTCACCAGTCAAGGAATTTACCCAAATTTCACCATCAGCGCTACAGTTTAACATAGGTGTGGGAAGCTATGAACAATCGAGATATCGAAGCAAAAATAAAACGTCACAGAGAAGGGTACCGGTGTCTCCCTACATTTAGAATTTATTATTTAATATAATAAATTGAAATAATTACTCACAGTTATTTATCACTTCATCAGTTGAAGCTATTTTGTTTAGTGAAATTACTAATATACTATGGCACCATATTTGTAACTATGTTTTTTTTGTAAGTAAGAAACAAGTAAGAAAGAACATTTTTTAATGGTTGTAAAGGTATGTTATCTCACAAGCCATTTCATCAAATTATTATTTGATAAAATTTAGATTACCCATTCAAACAGAATCTAAATAAATATGAATACTGTGATCTAGATAATCAAAAAGAGAGTCTTATGAACACCGACTTGGAATGGAGTTCCTTTCGCAATATCTTTTTTGTGTTTGTATTAAGAAATGATAAAATAAAAAAATGAAAAATGTGAATAAAGTTGGTAATGCAGATAAATTTATTAGATGTTACTTAAAAAAAAATTATAAATATTTTGAATATTTTCAAAATTGACTGCAAGCTGAATCAATTGAAAAAAATTCTAGGTAATAGTGCATCAAAAAGACGTCGGTTTTTGGTGTATTTCCTTGTTACACTTTTTTCTGTCCACTCCCTCAATGTGCAAACAAATCGGTACAACACAACAAATAAAATTGTTAATAGTTTATCTGCCAATAGTAATTTTATTCCTATGTAAATGTGCATTGTTCTCTTTGTGTAATTTCCAAGAGAGAAAATGACATGTATATTATTTTCAAATCTTTTGCTTGTATTTAACAGTCTAAATCTTTACATTTTATTCTTAAATAATAGTACAGTACTTACTTAAATATTCTTAAATAAAGGACACTAGCAGTACATCCATTTTTCATTTAAATTACGGTTCCACATAACAATTTCTGCTGAATGTATCAAGCCAAGGCAATGTACCAAGGTATCTGCTTAGGCGCTGGGGGTCGTGGGTTCGATTTCAACACGACACAACTATTTGTTTGACCCACAGATAATTGTTTCATATCTGGATGCATGTCCAAGTGAAATTTATGTATGTAAGCATCCACACGACTTAGGATATTGTGTCAATGTTATCCTACAGTAAGGGAGCTGTTTACTACTATAGATCTTTTGTTCACTGAGACTTTACACCCAAGTCCTTCCTCACAATAAAATAAAAAGTAAGGTGAGAAATGTGTTACTGTTTGTAAATGTGTGAGAAGTTTCCAATTCTATTTTTTTTTATCAAAAAGTTTAAATTTCAAATACATAATACTCTTAATGCTATAATTGTAGTGAAACACTGTATGTTTGCAATTTTCACTGGGTAACATTTAGCCTAATTTCTACTTTTTTTTAACTTATAAGTAATAAGTATTTCACTTGAAATTCAGTGTCCACCTAGTTGAAAACTTTTATGAATAGTATATTATATTATATGCTTTATATTGTGTAATGCAATTTTGGTTCTAGTTCATTAAATCGTAATTCAAAGATTTTGTCTTTTAATCACAACTTTACCCTATAAATACTACCCTACTGTGAAAGCTGTGAAAATTTACTAGGTCCATTTATCATTAGTTTCATCAACTCATTCACATTAAGTAATCACAAATTATTGTCCCTGTACATACTAAAATATGCTTCTTTTATGTTTATTTTAACATCTTTTGTTTTCTGTTGCAGATGAACACTGTTAATAACTACATTGGGACAAAAATTTGCGAGACATGCCTCAATCATGCATTAACCTGCTATATATTTTTGAAAAAGATCAGATACACTAGGACTAGATTAGACACTTGTATTGCCCTAATGTTAAAGAATTTAAATGGTGTTGAGGAACCTGATACGAATGTCATCGTGGAGATAGCCGAGGACAGCATTCTGCCGTTGATGACAAAAGACGAAGTAGTAGATGACGTCGAATTCGACGATAGCGACGATACATTCGAAGGCTCAATGAACGTCGAAGTGTTGGAGGACGAGTTTAGGATAGAATCGGAGAGTTCCGATGACAGTGTACGAAGTTTACGTACGTACGGGCCCAGTGCAAAGCCGAAAAATACCAAAATATTCGACGACCTGAAGAAGAATCTGTATCCAGTCAATCCGACCGCAGAGTTCATACTGCACAACCCGGCGAAGGACGCTACAAGGACATATGTGAACAAGAAGCTCGTCAACGGCATCCAACCGAAACTGACCGCGACCCATGAGGTAAAGAAGCCGCCCCCCAGAGACGTTTGCAGTGAGTTCCTGACCTTCAAGAAGAAACCGAAGCCCGCTAGAAGACGCTGGCCCAGGTTCACCTGTCCCCTGTGCAGCAAACACTTCATCTCGGACTACTTCCTAAAGAAGCACGTGCTGAAGCACGTCGAAATGAAAACCAAATGCCCCCTCTGCTCGGCCCGCTTGAAATCGAAATTCTGCCTGTTCGAACACATGAAGATGGTCCACATCGCTCACGGCGTCCCCTACAGCGTTTGTACGGTGTGCTGCAGAGGTTTCGCCGACGCGTCGAAGCTCGCTTCGCACAAGAAGACCCACCACGGCAAGGAGTGCCAGCTGTGCGGGAAACGGTTCAGCTCGCAGAAACGCTTCGACGTCCACCTGCAGCGTCACGCTGTCAGGTTCAACGCGCTGAAGGGCCGCAAGGCGCAGACGTGCAGCTTCTGCGAGAAGGAGTGCTCGAACGAGAATGAACTCTCGCTTCACGTGAACAAGTCACATTTGCAAATCAAGCCGTACAGCTGTGACATGTGCGACAAGCAGTTCTACACGGAGCACAACCTGGCCAGCCACAAGCGTGTGCACACGTTCCTCTCGAGGGAGAAGTGCGAGTTCTGTGACAAAGTGTTCAAGTGTAGGAAGGACTTGGTGGTGCATGTGAGGAGACATATCGGCTCGAAGCCACATCACTGCCACGTTTGCAGGCAATCGTTTTACTCGGAGACCGGCAGGAACGTCCACATGAGGAAGACCCACGGTGGCAGGTTCTGCTGTAGACTGTGCAAGTCGGTGTTCAATAGGAAATTGGACCTTAAGGCGCATGTGAACGTGGCTCATAATGCCATGTAGCAGTAAATTTCTTTGTCAGTGCAACTCTTTAAGAGTATTGGTGCTATGTAGCCAGTCACAGTGAGTTTTTAGGAGGGTTGTAATCCCGCATAATGGGAACATTCACAACAAATACATAAATTTTACATACATTTATCATCATCAACCATTATTCAACTCTCTTTGGCTCACCTGAAATCTATATTCTGAATATTCGGATCACATTGCTTATGGCATTTTTCAACCTGTTGTGCCATAGCATACAACTTATTTCTTGTTTCTACATGTTATTTTTCCTAGCACAAGTGATGGTTAGTCTGCTAAACATTTACAAAACTCCCAACCAAATAATAATATTAAAAAATCAGTACTAGTCTCTCAGATTGTGTACTTTTTAAACTGTATAAAATTTGTTGCAATATTATTAGTCTGTCTTATCTGTCAATTTAGTTTTTTCTATGTGAAATGTATAATTATCTATTTATCTAACATTTGTGTTAATGCATTGATTGCCTAATAATTGAAATTGGAGTAAAAAAAATAACTGGGGGTACCAGCAAATGCTAAATGATCTGTTGGGCTGATTTACCAAATGTAAATAATTAAAAGCCAAAGTTTCCTTTGCGACATAGTTTAAAGGAACCAGTGCCTTATCTAGTTCTAACTCGATCTATTTACTAAGCTGGTGCAATTGACGACAACATTTTAAAACACTATAGCGTTATTCTAGTGTTTGCAAGAAATTATTGATTTAAAAAGACTTAATTGGGCCTGTATAAAACAATAATAATTATTGATTTATGCAAGCTTAACTGTGGTAGGGCCATGTAGTAGCCTCGTCTTTTGCAAGAATGGGCAGGATCATCCGGGTAAGTACCATATCCTCACCAGAAGACCGGCGTCAACTTTTCACATAAAAAAGCCCATACACTAATTGTACGTTCAAAAATTTGTTTGTAATTCATAAATTTTGTATTTTATTTAAACGAAATTCATTAGCATAAAATTATAAATTTTAAATGAATAAGACCACCTTTGTGGAGATTCGAGTGAAATGAATTACATTCAAATGCGGTTGGAGGATATCCAATATATTTGTAAAATTTTACCTATTGTAAAGAGATGAAATATTTTCGGTGTGTATGATATATAGTAAACCTAAGTTTGTATTTCCCTGCTTAATGTTCTCAGTATATTGTTTCATTACTAAATGTTATATAAGACAATAGGGTAATTTCTACTCTTCATTCAGCAATCGTGCTAACAGATTTTCTTTCTTAATAATGTTTATATTTTTATTTGGATTTGAATGAAAAAGTTTCGTAGCGATTGTACTCTTGTCAAAATTACTCATCCCCTATTAAAATTATCAGAAATTTATATTATGGTTTGTGACACGCCATGAATAAGAATAATCCGATCAAAAATTGATAATTCCTAACCATCACAATGTCCTTCATAGTAGATTACTCCAAGATTCATAATGTCGCATTAATTGAACTTTGTTAGTTTGAAACATCCCTCAATTGGTACATGAAGTTTTTTTATTATTTTTCATCATTTGAGTAGACTTCAAAATTTATTTTATTTTAGTCTTTATGTTTAAGATTGTTTTATTTATAGTGTATAAGTATGATAATTATGAAGAATGTTCTATATTAGAGGACTGTAATTTAATTATAGAGATGTATGTAATAGAATAATTATTTTTGATTCAAAATATAATTATAAACATAAAATATTTTCTTCACCTCAGTTGTCACCAGACTGTTCCCTGCGAAAAAATCAATCAATTTAAGATTGATTTCGTCGGCACAATCTATACATATAATAAAAAAGTAAATAATCATTATCTGTACATGAAGATATCTGAGAAAAATATTAATGGGGGCTATATCAACGCAGTATAACCCAAAGTAATGATTTTGAAAAAGTTTTGTCTGTGCATTTTTGCGCGCTAATCTCAGTAACGGCTTATTCGATAAAATATTGACTGTTAGTTTTACACGATGCCATTTAAACATCAAGAGCAATAATTGAATGCAATAAATTGCGCGCAAAAAGTTTAGACTATTTGTTGTTTAGACCATCAACTCATTTATTGCTTCAGTATACAACCACATGTAAATGGGCCTTTAGATTTGAGTTTTATCAACTTAGTCAACCACATTGTAGATTTGAGCGATAAAATGCTATAAAATATTATTTATATTATGGTCTGTAAAATGATTATGATGGTCTATTACTTAAGGACAAATACGATGATATATTTAAAAATCGAAGGGTTCCGTACTATTATCTATGAAAACGCGAAAAAATCATGTCTCTTGTCGTTAGCCCAACTTAAAGATTTGTTATTCCGTTTTTTAGTATTTGTTGTTTAAGCGGCAAAAGAAATACCTACATCTGTGAAAATTTCAACAGTCTTACTATTACGGTTCATAAAATCAGCCTGGTGATAGACGGCCAGACAGACAATGGAGTGTTAGTAACAGGGTCCCGTTTTACCGTTTACGTACAGAACCATAAAAATAACAGTTTTGACACTCCAATGTACGTTGACCTAAGAACTGTCATATAGCTGCGGGACTAAAATCATAAACCATCGTCTGGTGCGACAGCGGGGCGAAATGCGCCAAATACTGGTACGATTTTCAAAATTTTTGAACTGTTACACAGCCCATTTATTTAGAAAGGATAAAGGCTACATTTAAAAAAAATAAAATGTAGTACAACCGGGCGGCGCCGCGGGCGAAAAATGCGACACGATTTGATAGTACAAACCGGCATAAATAATTATTTTTCGTGAGCACGTTATCCGTAAGTGATTCTAATGACACTGACGTAGGTGAAACGCGGGTCTACTAACTTTAGTAGACATTTTGCACCGTTCGCTACGGCTAATGAGTTATCTAGACAAGTATATAATCACAGAAACAAGGCAAGGTTCTCCTGTCAAACAGAATGTCCCCTGGCCACTGAAAATCTATCACATGACACACGTAGTCCGTAGCACGGGATCTAAACGTGTAAACGAGTGTGAGTGAAAATAGTGGTTATATTCTCACTGGAATACCCAGTCTAACATGGTACGAGAAAATGGTGTCGCAAAGTTTTGAGGACAGTCAGTCCCCATTTGGATACAAATTGCTGCATTCATTTTCACGCCTTTCTCACAAAAATATACCTCGAATAAGCATTATTATGAGACTTCCAGCTAAACCATGAGTGACGACGACTTTTCCTAACAAGGCAAAACACATTTTAAAGAGTAAAGTATTCGGTTGCCTCTTGACTGTAATTCAAATTAAATTTTAGATTTTTGCATACATTGTTTTATTTTGTAAAATGTAATAAAATAGCACTTGCCTGTGATGTAAACTTAAATGTGAAACTTAAATTACATTCCGCAGTGTACCTACCTGGCAGATTTTCCCCCGTTAATGTAGAAGTGTTGCTGGAGTTTATTCCGCAGTTCTTCTCTTAGCCGAATTGATAGTAATGTTAGCTGTATCAATTCTTCTAGCCACCGATCGAGCACTCTTGAATTGGAATGCTGTACGGTCAATGAGTAGCAGCCCCAAGCCGGGTACCTCTCTTTCACATGACACACTTGTTGTTCCACGGAATAGAGGATATAGTGGAAAAGGTTAGGTAGTCCGTAGTACTGGATCTAAACGTGTAAACGAGTGTGAGCGAAAATAGTGGTTATATTCTAACGAATACCCAGTCTAACATGGTATGAGAAAATGGTATCACAAAGTTTTGAGGACAGTCAGTCTCCATTATATCCTTTGATAGAAGATAATAGAGTAGCGGTCCGAGCCGCGGCTCCCTCGGCAGCATTCGAGCTAATTAGTTTAAATGAGGTTCAGGAGCTAGGAGCCCTCAGCGCCCGGCCATCTCAAGCCCGGTGCATCGGTAAAGGCCCCCTAAGGCCGGCAGTGAAAGGTCCTCAAAAAAAAAAAAAAGAATCTCGAATGACCGTAATTTGTCAACTGTCTTTTGTAGTACATGACAAAAATGGCTTTGTAAGTTTGTAACTAATAATGAATATTTTTTATGGCAGAAATCCCACGTTAAACTATAACAATACTAGAGGATTATATTTCACGTCTGGAAGGTCGCACTTGGGTAGAAACTCGAAAACTAGAACATAAAATTGGCTGCACAATTTCTAGTGTGTCAACTGCCAACTGCCATTGTCAATCAATTTTCAAATGTCAATGTCATGTGCTGTATCTGTAATCTGCTGTTTGTAGGTTAGGTTTTTAATTTGTACTGAGTTACTGAGTGATGTTTTTTTTATTTATAAAAGTATATTTTATGAATTGAGATAGGAATAGAGTTATTAAAATATTCTTAGCCATAAAATGAATTTACTGAATTTTATTCTCGGGTCTAACAAATATGGAACTATATGTTTTCTCTGCTTAAGAGACCAAGCTAACACAACAAGTATTTTTTCTGAAGTGGAAGTCGTCGGAGATTGTTATAGTTCCACTTTGACTTTAGCCAAAATGTTAAAAATAATTATTCCATCACACGTAAGTCTTATTGTTACTAAATTACAGAATTATCTTTGTATTTTTACCTTTTTTAGACGAAGGAATATCCTTAAACTTTTTTTTTACCTCCGTGTAGGAAATTTTATTTGATCAAGCATGCGAAGATTGCACCAATCTTATTTTAAAAATGTTTATTACATTACACAATTATGATAAAAAACTATCAGATTTGAATTTAATGTTAAATAATTTGTGGGAAAAACTTAGCGATATCAATCATACAAATATTGAAAAAGTAGTTATAAAACTAAATGGTCCTGAAGTTAAGCACATTGTGGATGATAAAAACTGCACAATAAACAAAACATTCAGCTGCCAGAAGTGTGTTATGAAATTTAGTGAACTGAATTTACTGAAGGAACATAACAGAACTGTTCACAAAAATGGTAACACGGCAACAGTTTGCGATGTATGTGGACAGACATTCAAAACACCAAGTTCGTTAAAGGCACATATCAATTGTCATAGAGAAAAGGAATGTCCATATTGTTTTAAAGTGTTGAAGTCCCATTCACACTTTAATATTCATATAAAAAGGCATAGATCTGGTATGAAAAGAAAGAGGAATAAAATTCAGTACAATTGCAGTGCATGCAGCTATGTGAGTGTTAATAAGAAAACTCTAGAGGCTCATATAAATAAAATCCATTTGGAAATAAGGCCATATGTTTGTGAAACTTGTTATAAGGGTTTCTATAAGAAAAGTAACTTGACGGAACACTTAAAAACACATGTGCAAGGTAAGAATAGAACATGTGACATCTGTGGAGACCACTTTGTAAGTGATAAAACATTGACCGAGCACCAAAGATTACATTCTGATTTAAAACCGTATGAATGTAATATTTGCAGTAAGAAATTTGTAACTTCTGGAAGAAGGTCTGACCATATTAAGAGAACACACTTCGAAAAGGCTGAGTGTTGTCTGTTCTGTGATAAGAAGTTTAGTTTGAGGAAGGAGTTAAACAGACATGTAAAAAAAATACATACTGAGAGTGCCCTGTTGATTAATGAAAATTTTGAAATGAACATATCGGATTACAAATTTGATGATGCTTTAATGTTACCAATCACTTGACAACTAATCTGTCTGGTCATTGCAGAGATAAGTGCCCTAAGTTGGAAAAAAGCTTTCCTATTTGATAATAAAAATGACAGTCACTATTATAAATTATGACTATCAAGTATTATTAATTCAGACATGTATTAAAAAATTTCTTTGTCAAGGAAAATTTGCTCAGTTTTTTTATATAAAGGAGAGTTTATTGTTATCCTAAAGTGTAAGCACACCATTCATTAAAAAGCCTTTTAAAGCCACTTATTATATTTTACAATGCCCGTTAAAAGCTATAAAACAAAAAAAAATGTTGGAATATAATTTTATTACAAAATAAGGTACAAAAGGACATTGTTCACAAATTGTATAAATTTTATACAATAAAATGTCTAAAGGTAATTGAGTATTTTATTTATAAACAAAAACAAGATGAACCACGAAAAAGTACATAATAAATCCAAATAAATAAAAAAATAATTGTTGTCTGCAATACCAACTTGTAATTTTATTTATTAAATATTAAATATTTTAAGATCAATAATTTATCTGTCAATTTAAAGGTATATAGTATAACAGTTAATCTTAGCTATACTTCTAACATAAAGTGTACATAGGATAAATTATTTCGAAATAACAATCACACATCTATTTCACATAGAAAAGTAACCAATCTACAAATTAATATTTAATGATGTTTATTTTATAATTCACATAGAGTATTGGTAATTTATGGTAACTTTAAGTTTTAACAATGCCATTGCCGTGTTTTACAATTTCTTTTTTAAATTAGCTTTTAAAGTCATACTTCTTTTGGTGCGTTTGTTAAAAAATTATGGGAGTAAATTGATGTTAAAATAGTCTTCTTCTTCTTCTTCTTCTTCTTCTTCTAAGGCAGTTGGCGGTCCTTTGATATCGCCAATGACAAAATAATGGTAAAGAAACAAAGGGTTTCAATTTCAAATATCTAAGGATACCTTCTGGTTGTTTATTTTTGCATAACTTTTATAATGAAATCATGAAGAGAATGATTTTATGAATGTTTAATATATATACTTATTTAAAATAGTCAATGCGCTAGAAGTCATTGACATGACTTCATGGGAACTAATAACAGCTTTTTGACATTTACATTACATTCCAAGCTATTTAATTTTAATAAATCGTTATCAATTGCCATTAAATGTCTTTTTAAACAAAGAGTACTGTCATGCGGGATTTAAAGTTTTTTATTATTTTTTTTTTCTAAATAAGTATTACTTCTTACATGCTTACATAAGTACAACACATATTGTTTTATTATTTCACGGCAATGACATCTATTTAATTGAACGTACATTCTTCTTTCAAACGTTACAAACATTTTTTTTTAAATTTAATATTTGTAACCGCCTCCTTGGTTGGCTGGTAAGTAAGTTTGGCCGGCTTGGTTAGGCGTGCCGATCGCGTTCGAGTTGGGTTCGGGATACTGGGCCTCTCCTTCATACGATACCTGAAATTATCATTTGAACGTTAACAGTCGCAGGCTACAACTCGATGAGGATTTTTTTTAGTTGCACTGTTGTAGATATTAATAGGCCTATAAGCGGAATCTGAAACGAATTTAACGCTTTCATGTAACCTTAAAGAATTTTACGTTCTCCCTAAATTACTACTTCAACTAAACATCCGTTTTGTAGTTTTTGAATTTATCGACGTATAAGGATAAGGTGTAGTGATAATGACATCTTATCCGTGTCTGTATTGTCGATTAGGAACAGTATAAACCCCAGTCTTACAGGTCTTGCAAGTTGGGTTTTGCGCTGGTGGCGCCACTGCGATTGAGGGAGACCCGGGCAAAGATAACGTTAGTCGCTTAACTTAAATCCACTTTGAACCTCGATGGCCCGTAGGCGACATGTCCTAAAAAAGCACGCATGTATACATGCGCGGTCCCACCCACTGAGGTGGGCCTCAAACCCGTGGGTTCTGGCTAGCCCACTGGTTCTGGGTTCGATGAAGCTCTAATAGTCTAAGGACTGAAAGCGTAACATCAGTTATACAAATACAAAATCCACTTGTTATTCACAACATACAGATTATATATTACACTCCGAAAACGTCAACGAAATCAGCCAGGAGTACGTTAAAGATTTAAAAAAATTACGTTGTATCGATACGTCTCTGCCGAAGCGCCATCTAAGTGTCAATCAATAGCGGTCTCACTCCGCATTTTGTATGAGTTCTGCTGACTGTGGTAGGTACTCGCAATAGTGTTCGCTTTAATAAATAAGTATTACACTTCTGCATTTCGTCCGGTGAGTGAGGTAGCCGGGGCTCACTATTAAATGGCGGTAACGCATCTGCAACTCTACTGGTGTTGCAAATGACACTGGGCTGCGGCTATCTTTCAACATCAGGTGAACTGCCAGCTCTTTTGCGACTTTCTCACATAAAAGGAAAGCTTGGAAGACCTTTAAGGAGAACGCATACTGAGAAATCACTTACGGCAGCAAAGGACAGTTACTCACGTCCTCATTCAACATAAGGTCAAAACCGCTTGCTATTTTGCAACTTTGTCACATTAAAAAAAACACTGTATGGTGAACGAGTCCTGAGAATGACGACAAATAGATAGACCATAGAGCCTACTCCTTAAAGGCCGGCAACGCAATTGCGCCTCAACCGATGTTGCGAATGTCCGATGGTCGTTTGCCTCCTTTTCCCAAAATAACAGTTACTCACGTCTGCGTTGAAGCCGTTCTTCCAGTCGGCGGTGTACTTGACCACTTGCACGCGGCCGTCGGGCAACGCGACCCTGTACTCGCCGCGGGTCACGTCGCCGTCGGAGACAGCGTTGTGGCTGTAGTCGTTGCCGTCCCCGTTCACCGCGTACGCGAAGTCGAACGGCATGCCCGGCTCGTGGTGGTGGTGGTGGTCGTGCTCGCCATGCTCGTGGTGCTCGTGGTGCTCGTGGTGGTCGTGGTGGTCGTGGTGGTCGTGATGGTGGTGGTTCTATATGGAGAGGTTTTACATTTGTTTTAAAGTTTATTTAGTAAAATACAACATAAACGTTTGCAAAATGCAATGACAAGAGATACAAATATTTATATTAACATTTTTATCTACGAAAGGCGCACAGCAATTCATAAGAAACTGAAGACTGGTGTGGTGCAGTCGGTCAGGACAGTAGATAATGTTAGAGTCGGTGCTAACCTGGGACATGTATCTAAATGGCCCAAAATAATGAATGTAAAACGCCTTTAGGTAAAACTCATTTTCACAGTCATTATAACCTACTGTAGGGGTAATGTTTAAAATAGGTAACTAAAGGAAACAAGTCCTCCATTAGAGAGTGCTCTTATATATTTAAATATATATAAACGTACATTGGTGAACCTTTTAAATAAATAAAAGGTGTATTAAAAACAGGGGTATTAAGTAAAAAAGACAATTAAAATGAATAGCGGTAACTTACTTACGAACTTATTTATGTATTAATTTTTATGTAAAATTCGATGTTTTGAATAAAGATATTTTAAATTTGAATAAAAAACTTCGGATTCAATTTAGACGTTTGATGATTCGATAAGTTATTTTGTAAGTACCAACTTGAGCAAGTTGAAAGAGAGGACATCTAAATATATTCTAGTTGTTATGTTTGAAAAATTTAGAAGGAATGTACTCGTTAATAGAATATGAAGACATTTTTTGAGCTTCTTAATTTACGTTAAGGTTGCAGACAAATAGAAGATATTGTATTTATGTAAGTCAGTTATGGCATTTCCTGAATTAAAAACTGCTAGTTTCTTCAGGGTCGTCCGACAAGTAGGTACATAAATTATCGCCAGTCTCGGTCGAAATGCGTTATTTTAGGGCACGCTCAATCGATTTAGCCAGCTACATTCACAATAAAGTTTTACTTCTCGGTAAAACTCTATTCATCACTAGGTCATAAGTCCGGCGGAAAAATATTACAGCATTGTATCCTTACAAGCTTTGTCGTCTTTCACTATGTAACTGTTAGGAACTATGAAATCTTGTTGGTTGGGCTGAAAGAAACTGGTTAGGACCAAAATCTCAGCTATGGCCAAAATCTCGGCCTTCATACGCCGACAAGCAGATCAAGAACTCGGCATAGTTTTAGCCGAGAATTACTACGATGACGACGATTAAACTTAGAATAATTATTCGAAATCTATCCGTTGATATTCTGTGATGCGAGCACAACGGTAGACTTCTATAATTTTATGAAAATATATAGATTTCAAAAATCAGATATTGTATTAGTGTTACTGTAGCTTGATAGAGCCAAGCAGTTTCTCCAGTTGCGTGGATGGGGTCGACCGGGGAAGTATTTAGTAGAAGTATTTATGCTTTCGTTTTAAAGGTTTGCGACACAACCGTGAGCCTACAGTTATCGGTATATTCACGGGTGGCAGAATTTATCGTTAAGAGATTACTTGTTGATCATCTTCCATAAAAATATTTTATAATTCTCATGCAAATTGCTCAGGTTGGATAATAACTGAGGGAATACCTATGTAAAGTTAAGAATCGAGTAGCAATTAAATCGTATTACTTGCTAATATCGTAAAGAAATTAATGATGATGCAACTGGTTAGTAAAGAGCAACTGTTTACAGTTCACAAACGGTTATGTTATTGATTTTTAACTAGACTCTCACACGTATACATAGTTAAAAATCCCTAGAATTATACTTTCCGATTTCGACCACGGCCGTGCCTAAGCGATTTTCGCCTCGCACTCACGAAATATCAATGCGCGAACGTATTACCGTGTACGATTTTATGTACCGCGCGTCCATAAAAAGCGATTGGAATTGTATCGTAAACGCGTGGAGGTTTACGATAATGGCGCCGATCGAAGTGTCGGGTCGGCGATGTCTAGCGGTGTTTAATTGGAAAATTTAAGGCGAGATGCGTCTGGTGAGTGTTTGGTGGTTTGTACTTTTATGGGTTCCGTGCCAATAGGGTAAAACGTGACCCTATTACTAAGGCTCCGCTGTTTGTCTGTGGCGTTGACAAACTTTAAGAGGAGATACCTGGATTACTTAACTGATCAGTTGAAGGCAAAGGTACGAAGATACTTCACGCCGGTCTTCTACTGGCAAACCACACTCAAGCTGAACTTGTTCCGTGACTCATAACAGTAAAGAAATACAATTTAACAAACAGAGTATATTTTTAAGTGAGACAAAGATAATGCTATTACGATTCTGAGATAATTTCGAACGAAATGTTCAGCGCGATGTTGGATTCCTTGTGTCACTGGATTCCTTCATTCGACTTCATGACAGAAAGGATATATATATATATAATTTAGATATTTATTTATTAAGTAATATTGGTTGGCAGTTGTGATTTTGCGTACAGAATACGTTGCCCTTTCTTTGTCTTCACTATCATGGTAACGATCTTAGACAAAAATAAAATATAAATTATATTAATATAATTAAACTATGACCAGACGATTTTCTCTTGCAATTGTTCCCTTTTCAGCTTATCCTTGCACTGGTATCTATGTGCGGTGCCACAGATTACCAATACTCGGCAGGTGAGTTCCGTTGGGTGTTGTCTATGGTAATTATATGTTATGGTAATATTGTGTTATAGCTTTTATAGACAACCCCCCTACTAATTAGTAGAGGTGATTGTCTTTAACAGCTTAGTTCCTTTAACACTTTATCTGTCTACTTTACAACGCCGATATTTCTTTACTAGAGAACAAAATCTCTCAAAATCTGTGGACAAGATCACTTCAACGGTAGGCGATATGCGAATTTAAAATATTTAATTTTAATCGCGTCAATTGGAATTGATGCTTAGGTCACAAAATAAACCAGACGAGTCGCTGATGCCTTTTACTTTCTTTTACCTTCTGCTATGTCAGAATATTTTGTTCACCCATTCATAAAAGAACAGAAGCCACCGCATGGCTTTATTATCAATGTGTCTTAGCACTTATTATTTAAAAGAGTGGAACATTGAATCTAAAATATTTTAACTAATCTTAGTAATCATTTTGGCCAGTGCACTTGTTATGAAAGTAATGTATGGATTTCATCTGTATTTCGCCTTCTATTTTAAGTGCCTTCGAATTGAAAATTAAACACGTAATATATCTTTCAGTGAACAAGAAAAACGACGTAGGTATGTGCCGAGTAGAGTTTTTTTAACTTTGTAACCTAGATTCAATGGATTTTTTAATTTATGAGAGAATTCGTCAATATAATAACCGTTCACCTTACTAACCATAATGAAAACAGCTTATCTACTTTTACTAAATGTTGGCACTATCCACGCCCCTACAGACTTGCTGGACGAGTACCTATAATATAGGAAAAGCTGCAACGCGGCGCTTTTTATCCTATGTAAGCATTGCCGCTGTCGATGCAATTTTTTTTATGTGTGAAAAAGTTGCGAGCGAGCTGACGGTTCAACTGATGCTAAGTGCTAACCGCCGTGTGTGAACATTTGCAACACCTATACGGTTGTAGATGCGTTGCCTTTTAATAAAGTGGATCCCAGTGATCTCCACCAGAGAACATTTTCAACACCCGTATTTTTCTAGATGCGTTGCCTTTTTAATAGTGGGTCCCAGTAATTTGATACCGGAAACGCAGAAGTACTTATAACGCTTCCAATTCACGCCGGTCTTCTGTTTGGCCGCGGTACTTCCCTAGACTACTATACTGTTGAAGCTACCGCAAGCCTCTTGGGATTACCTGAGAGGTGATCATCCAGTGAGTATCCTCAACAACGGCTGCGGGAGACGGCCTTGGATGAACTTGGAGGGAGACTACTTATATCTTAAACTACAACTAATATCTTAAACGTGTCTTTTAGATATACAACATAAGGGTAATCAGATGATAATGTATCTTAAAATACATGTCATCACGCTGCCAGGTTTTCAATCTGGCTACTTGAATTTTGAGCTTTGCATATAATATGCTAATTATGATGAAATAAATAATTACTATTTCTTTTAAGAGTACGGGGAACGCTTGTCAAGTGAGTTAGTTTTTTATTTACCTTAGTAAAATGCATTGGGGAGTATTAAACATTAGTTTCTACCTGTCTATTTTTGGATAACGTCGTTTTTAATAACATGGTCGTAGACACACTATAGTTATTACGAGTTTGAAAGGCCCTAATTGAGATAAGTATGCTATATATAGTATAATTAGTGAGTGTACTCATGTTTTTAATTTAAGAGAAAGTTGATGTTAATTGAATTTACAGGTAATACGTTTATTTTGCATAAAAATAACAATGATTTTTTTTTATTCACAACAGTGTGTTCGACATTATATTCAGGAAAAATACATGATGTTAATACACCAGTGTTTTCCTAGTTCTAGATGTTTATAGGTATTTCTATTTACGAAGGAAAAGTACGTCTAAGTATGTTCACTTATTAGTATAAGGTTTGCTTGTTTTAGTACTAGATGACATTTTTTAAAACATTTTTTACTTATTCAGTCATTCAGTTTATGTTATGGATTATATGTATTTATTAATATAAATATATTTAGGGGCAACATACGCTGTTGCTTATTTATTTGTTGTTTGATATAATAGTAAGACTAATATTTATATATCTAACGGATCAATTGACACGTGCGAAATTTATGCAGTGTCTTGATTAGTCACTGAATGGTAATAATGTGCAAAAAAGTATTTATTCATGAAAGATATTTCTTTTCAAAAATAACGGTGAAATTCTGTATACTTCCTTTTCTTTCATTTAAACAAATTGTCAATAGATGGCGTTGTCATATATTATCATAAGTCTAAACATTTATTCTACTTATTATTCATCAATGATTAATATTTACGGAAGTAATGACGTTCCGACAATAAAAGACCTATGAGAAATAATAAATAGAGATGTAAGTTTTCTGTGTTGTTATACATTCTATAAGATAATATTTAAGCGAATATTTCTTCAATTGTTCAGATATGACGAATAGTTAACATAAATAATATTTGCAGGCCTAGAAAATGGTGAGTTGGATATAATACGGTGTAAGATGTTTTTGGATTTATTTCATATTACGTTAAACATTGACCGAGGTCGTAGGGCATATTTACATAATATTTTTAAAATGGATTATGTCAATATAATAGCGGTAATCACCACAGATAATAAATGATCTAGTATGTAAAGAAAATTATACTTTTTATAATTGCATTTGTCCTTGTGCCAAGTATAGACTCACTTTCTCCTGCCCTTATCCCACACTAGTGGCACGGCACTACGTAGGTCCATCATTTATTCTCGGAACCATGTTGTTATTTCAGTTATTGGCTTGTGCCAAGTATTAACAAAAGAGAAAATGGATTTAAAAAAAAAACAAAAAGTGATAGCTGACTGCCTGCTCCTATTTTTATATTTCTTACGCGCGGAGGAAACTGTATCAAATCTTTTTCTTATGTGAAAGGTTGCAGTGAATATCTACTACACCACTTTTGTACAGCCACTTTTTTTTAAGGTTGTCACTACAATTACGAAACGCAAAGGTATAAATATAACACTTTCAGGTCATGCTAGTCTTCTGTGAAATCTCTCGGGATGACCCTACCATTTGTGCTATAGCAGAAGTTGTTGCGTGGCGGTTAAGCATGACAGGCTGAACATACTTACTAATATTATAAAGGCGAAAGTTTGTATGTATGGATGGATGTTTGTTACTCTTTCACGCAAATACTACTGAAAGGATTCTAATGAAACTTTACAATAATACTTGACGCCGGTCTTCTAGGTCGTGATAACTACCCACCCGGGCGGATCTGCCCATTCGTGCAACAGTGAAAACTGTTGCGTGGCCCTACCATAGTAAAAATGTTTAAATATTTTATAATGAAACAAAGCAATAACTCGATTCAATAGATTCGAGATTTAGGCTTGATAAATTCACATCGTTGTGCCAAAATATATAACTGACGAATGGTATATGTTTGTATAGAAATGTCATGTGCGTATTTTTATATTATTTTTTCGATCAAAACGCCGTTTAGTTTTGTAGTCTATCGATCATTTCAATTTGCCTTTTATTAAATTTCTAACAGATATTATAAATTTCTAATAATCTTTTTGTTTAGTGCGTATGCCTAGTAACAAGAGTAAGCTTCTGCATCGGTCGACACGCTGCACCACAGGAAAACCCATAACAAGTAAGATTTTTGACTTGAAATGTCTTTTGTATTTAAATGAAACTATTTTTTATGATTTCTATCGTAAAACTCAGTCCTTCCCGATTATATACGCCGCAATGTTTGGAACATCGGGAGTTGAAAGTAAAATAAGCGAGGCAAAAAGTAAAAGTTAAAACAGTTTACTAAGTAATGGTTATATCACTCTTGTCAGATGAAACACAAAAATATAGTCTGTGAAGATCGTTTGTAAGCGTGGTACTAGCGAGCTGGCCAATCCATGCACGAGAAGTCACTTTGGCTTGGAAGCAAAATAAATCATGTTTGTATATACTTTATGTATTTATGAGGCACCATAAAATAAAATCATAATTTTATTACTTTCAGTGGACCCTAACTATATACCGAGTAAGTTTTATTAGTAAGTTAATTATTTAAGTGAGCAATTGGGTATAGCAATGGACAAGGTTCTTAGGATTGACCTGTAGATTGGTAGAAAGGTGGCCTGGAAGAAATTACTCTTAGTAATAAGGCCGCCCGTTGTACCCATCACTTCTACATTAAGTTTTAATTTTTGTTTATTTTATTTTTGGTGTGCAATAAACTATATTCATTCATGATTGTCACAAGTATCGTTGTCTGTGTTTGTGTTTTCAAACCCTCTTTACAAATATCAGATTACACCATCGAAAAATACTGCCCATTAAGAGAATTCTATACAACGTTCCAAAGGGGTGGAAGGGTGATTATTGCATTTTAAATTATCTTGTCTGACTGTATTACATAGATTTTATTTAATCAAAGTAACAGCCTATACATGTTCCACTGCTGGGCAAATGTCTCCACCACGCGACCAACTGTGACTTCACATATCTTTGAAAATTTTTTCTTGTTATTTGGAAATTATGCAGGTTTTTTCACGATTTTTTCCTTCACCGCTAATCATCGGTGAAGGGAAAATCATAATAAATCTGCACCTTAATTAACAATTTGATTGGTGCCGGCATCGGGGATTGAACTCGGTTTTCTCGAGTGAATTGAATAATAGCGAGCTCCCAGACAATGAACTATCGTGGCAGTATATTTGTCCAGCACTAATGCTACAGTATGGCAGTATAAAAGAGACTACATGACCCATCTCAATCGAAATTAGGAATAAAAAAAAATTCAAATCTCATTATACATATAAACAATCCCCTAATAGGTTTCCAACATGTATAGTACACGTTAAGGTATTTCGTTTTTATATCAAACATGGTTTAATTTAATTAACAAGTACTAGCTAGCTACCCGCCCCGGCTTCGCATGGTGAAAGCTATTTATCGATGGCCTGGCCGTGTTTTGAGTATCAGTTTTGACTGCTTCATATTAAAATCGCACTTCAGGTCATGACTACGTATCTTTGAATGCACATTGACGCCCTCTATTTCGCAGGCAGTGACGAAGGTAAGTCGATTTTATTTACAGCATTATTGTAAAACACATTCGTACTTGGTGTTGTTGTCAGATGTTACATTTAGAACTAGGTCGATGGAAATTAGATGAAGGAGAGTCATGCCTTTTTTTTATGTGAAAAGTTGCCAAACGAGCAGACGGTTCACCTGATGGTAAGTGAATACCGCCGCCCATGGACATCTGCTACACCCGAGGGTTACAGACTCCACTCACCACCAGACGAAACGCGAAATTATTTGTCATACTTCCACTTTACGTTGGTCTTCTGTGAGGTCGTGGTACCCAGACGGGCCTGCCCATTTGTGCTGCTGCGTGGCCCTACCACCGTAAACTTTGCCTGATAGTCAGATTAACTATCCAACGGGTGACGAAACCGCGATTTCACAGATTCACATTCGGACGTTTAAACAACTGTTCATCTTGTATCTTGTATTAACTGATGTTTGTGCTTTCAGTCCCGAGACTATTAAACCTTCATCTGACGCAGAACCGGTGGGCTAGCCAGAACCCACAGGTTTGGGCCCTCCGCTGTGGGTAGGGCCGCGTATGTGCTCATGCGTGCGTTTAACTACGGCATGTCATCTAAGAGCCATCGAGGTTGCGATGCGGACAGAGACCCCGATGACCGCAAATGTTCAGCACCTGGCAATGCTACAGCCTTTATAAGAACGGACCCCGGTCCGCACACCTGGCGAATCGTAGAAGTATGACTATTTATACTTCACGCAGGTCTTCTGGTGCTGTCTGCTCAATCGTGCAGCAGAATCTGTGCGTTCCAACCACATTGACATTGTCTACTGTGACAGGCTCGTCACTTGTCACGATTCCGACTAAACAAGCTGAATGAAAAGTTTTTTCATTACCGTTAAATTCGTCTATTTGCGGAGTTAAATCTCATACCTTTTAATTAGATTTCATTTGAAACATAATTATTTTAGCACTCTATCCTTGATATTTTGTTTGTCCGAGTTCGACTGTTAGTTTTATAACTTACTAATTTTATTTATAGAGGACAGAAAAAAGTCTGAGAATTCAAAGGATGCTAAGGACGATATTGCCACGGAAGGTGATAATTTTTTAATATTTATATCGCACTTTATTATTTGATGAAATTAGATCGGTATTTTACACACCTTTAGTATCGTTTAGATCCCAAAGCCCAGGTAACCCAAACTCCATAATGGTCCATCGTTCTTACCTGTGTTGGGAGCATGCGCTGACAAACTTTCAGTTTTTATAAAATGGCGAAGGTCTGGCGTTCACGGACTCTTGCTCTATTAATTTTATTCTACTGGTTCATTTTCGTCAATAACGGCGAACGTTTGAAATTGTGTTCGAATCATTAAAATCGGTCAAGAGTTATGAAAGCTATGGTGTAACGATAAAAAACACAACTGAGAAATTGATTATAGAAATAGTACCACTGTATTCTTGTTAAGAACAAGAAATGTTTATTATGTGAACTTGACTATTACCAACTGGAGGTAACTGGCGGATTATCGGTTACTTCGTTCAACAACCATATTAAACATGAGATATTGTTAATCAAACATGTTAATTCTAGACTTTTATGATGCGCAAGCGTTATGTTTATAGTAAAACACACGTTACAAAGTTTCAGGGACGGCAACGAAGAAACTTTATAAGGCGCCGCCCACCGTAAAAAACCCTGACCATTACATCGACGATGACTGAATACAAATCGGAGATGTTTTTTCAAATTTTTTTATTTCCTTTAACCCCTTGTGATTTGATGCAGCTAGTGCAGTTGGAAACGAGAAATTATACATTTCAAATGAGTCCGTTTTAGAAAGACGTATTAGTTTATTTCCACGGTCGTGTGGAGAATGAAAGGGTTCGGATACGTTTCTGCTTGTCTCCTTAAGTCACGTGAGAAAACACATTTTGTTTATTAAGTTAACGGATTCCACGGAAAACAGCCAACAAGCCATGGACAAATAGTAGTGTAAACAAAATAGTAAGGCAACATGTAATACGTTGCAAAATGAACTCTATAGTAAAAAAAACTAACGTAAAGTAACAGCCTATACATGTCCCACTGCTGGGCAAAGGCCTCCTCTATACAGAGGGTATCAGGGCGTAGCCCACCACGCGGCCCCACTGCGGATTGGCGGACTTCACATATCTTCGAAATATTTTTTTTGTTATTATTTCGAAAATATGCAGGTATCTTCACGATGTTTTCTATCATCGCGGAGCACGTGATAAGTCAGCACTAAAAGTTAAAAAACTTCATTGGAGCCGGCACCGGGGATCGAACTCAGGTTGCTCGAGTATATTGAATTAAAGGCGAGCGCCCGGACACTGAGCTATCCCGGATCAGCTCGATAGGAGTTTGTATAAATATAGTTTAATGTTTCAGTATAAAATTTGCCTTCTCTCCGGTATTACAGTTAAGTTTACATCTTTAGAACAGCATCTGGATGAAATGTTTTAGTTCAGAGACGAAAGCTTATTTCTTTGTCCTGTTTGTAGGTATACGAATATTTAGGCATAATTTATCTTGCATATATCCCGCAACTGCTTTGATTTTATCCTGTACCCTGGTTGCCTGGGTAAAATCTCTACCTCAGCAATAAGGCTGTCTATATGTACACAATTTTTACTCAATTTACCTTTTGTCTATATCATTGTGTGCAATAAAGTGTATTCTATTCTGTTCCCTTTCACCGGGCTATGAATTCTGCAACCTATTTGCATGTGGAATATAATCCACCACCGATTGCCATTACTTACGTCGTGTGGCACCGGGGTCGGTACGGGCACTGGTTTCGGCACGAACGGCGGCGACGTGCTGACTGGTGGCAGGTACTGGTGGGGCTGTTGCGGCGTCGTCTTCGGCGGTGGTGGCGGCGGTCTCTGCAAGCAAAAAGCTGCTGTCTAATCAAGTCCTCAGTGGCATGTTATGTAATAACTGTGGTAGGGCCACGCGACAGTTTACGTTATTATATTAAACAGGTCACGGTCTTCTGTCTAGTCGTGGTACTTACCCGGACGGACCTACCCATTCGTGCAACAATTAAGACTGTTGGGTGGCCCTACCACTTTTAAAGCCTGGTCGTAAGTGATTACCATGTGAGCGCCTGTTATCTCATTCAGCGGATGAATCCACCCAGACCTGTTCTTACTTCCGTGACCATTGCCCTGACCGTGGAGATGCGGGGGCCAATCGTCCTTCACGTGATCTTGTATCTCTCGGTCATCGTTCGAACAAAGCCCATTGAGCAACCGGCCGTGAATCAGCGCAGACTTCACATAATTACAATGTAACCGTCAATCGTCACTAACGCCGTATCGAGAGGCGTAGATATTAGACATTGGCCGTGGTGAGCAGTCATTGCCATTAGAGTGTTAACACTCGACTAACATCCGTGAATACGCATTCAAGATTTCTGTTACTTTTGCGTTTTAGAATTCCATACCGCGATTGGTAAAGAAGCTGTGTTTGGTTGCTCACGATTAACTAAATGTACTCGGGAAACCTTAGTTCAAATCTCGAATAAGTTCGGACGTTTCATGGTTAGGCTAGATCGTCCGAAGAATTACTACGGCCTCTCAGAAGACAGACGTAAACATTCATTGGCGACTTTTGGGTTTTAAGTTGGCAAGCAAGGTGGCGGCTAACCTGATTTTAAGTGACCACCGTCGCCCTACATTACACAGTAATCTTCTATTTATTTTCTTCTAATAACATTTTGTAACATTTGCATCCCTTCTTCACCTACCCATAAGCTTTTACTACATCCTGGGTTGGCTGGTAGAGAATGCCTTTGGGCTTTAAATCCACCCTCTGTTACCTTTTTAATTAAAGTTACCTATAGAGCATGAATAAATAATAAAACATGTCTATCAAGTATCTAGCTTACCGTAGGAGTGTTGAAGGGGATTCGGGGTGGTTTGTAAATGTAGCCCTTGCTCGGGGGTAGGTACTCCTCGCCGGCGGACATCGCTATGCTGAGGAGGGTTGACGCTATCAGGCACGACAGCCGCATCTGGAAATGGGGCGGTGTTATTTTAATTTTATTTCACATCGACAAGTTACGGCCTATGAATGTTCCACTGCTGGGCAAAGGCCTCTTCTGTAAAGAAGATATCAGGGCATGACCACCACACGACCCCACTGCGGATTGGCGGATTTCACATATTTTCGAAATATTTTTTTGTTGTTGTTATATCAAAAATATGCAGGTTTTCTCACGAAGTTTTCCCTCATCGCCGAGCACGTGATAAGTCAGCACTTAAAATTAACAATTTCCCTGGTGCTGGCACCGGGGTTGCTCTAGTAAATAAGGTTGAAATTCGGAAGCCACAGATTATTTCGGTTCTGGGTGTTTGTCCACGTAAAATCGATATACCTATGTAAAACGTCCTTACAACACAGGATAACATTATTCTTTTATATAACGTTTTACCCGTTTTAGCATTTGTGTCCGGAACCTTAAAAAAGTTGGAACTTAGACGAGCTTAGTTTAAAGCAGTTATGGGTAAGTGGGCAGAATGTATACATCGCAGAAATGAACCTTCGGTTCTCGGTTGGGTACTAAACAATGCACTGTAACCTAATCCCACGGCTGTCCAGTAATAACGGATATTAATGGCCCGAAAACGGCTTTAATTAATAGCATACACCCAATACAATACTTGTTTACGTAAAACACTCAGAGTATCTATTAGATTCGTATTCCCAGCGGCGCAGCCTGTGACCACCGCCAGCTAAACTATGCAATGCTTTTGTGGGCGATGCATTGCGAAGTAGTGGAACAAATTCTCAGTTTATACATGTTAATTCAGTTGCATTCTGTTTTGGAGTCTTTTAAGTATTTCGATTTTAACATTAACTCTGTAAAAACTTTTGGTAAAACAGTTCGAGAACTCTTTATTTACACAGTTCAATAGGCAGTACCTATCATTGAACGTTTTGAGGTGACATTAACTGTCAAGCCCGTTGGGGCTTCTACTTTCAGGTTTCTTTCAATACATACACTTTTTATCCTAGGGGACGTAAGTTCTCATTTAGTTCTATTGCTTTAATAAGGTTTTTACTGTGGTGGGACTACACAGCCTCTGCTGTTGTACGAATGGTATCGTTTTGGGAAGCACTACGACCTCGCAGAAGGTCTCAACGAACTCACGAACGGTCTCACGAAGGTCAGAAGGTCATACTGGAGTCGAAGTCTTAAACTTTTCCGTTTCGTGTGGTGAAAGAGGTACTTAAATGGGCGCCCTTTTTTACCACGTGGTTTGTATCGTCGACAGGTGGCGGTTATCACTTAATTGATGACCACGAGCTCGGTTGGCACCTTCCCACATAAAAAAGAAGACGTCAACTGTTATAATGTGCCTTGCAACAACGACATTTTTTTCCAGTTTTGTCACAGTCGTCTAAAACCTTTCACTTTGGCGAAGCGTGTGTTACTAAGTAGCGTTATCTCTTCTTAACATCGCGTTTTGAGACGTGAGAGCTTTTTCAATATCGCTTACACATAGCTTGTTATTGCGTGTGCCCATGCTTTAAACATACAGAAACAATGGCCCCTTTCGCAACGTTCTCGCTGTGTGTAATATTGAGCTTAGCGTCTAGGCGCTGTAACGAAATTATTCGAATTATTTATTCATATTTATTTGTTTTTAACTTTAACACAAAAATAGTGGATTTATTGAATGAGGATTTTTCTATCAGTCACTCTAAAAGGTAAGTAAAGCATATTTAAATAAGAAAAAACCTATATAATATTTCTCCCACTGCTGGGCAAAGACCTCCTAAGGTCACTTCACTTCTTTCTTTCTCCTGCCCTTATCCCACACTAGGTGGGGCCGGTGCAAAATGTCCACTATTTATTTTCGGAACCATGTTTTTATTTCAGTTATTGGCTTTATTTTATCACGATCTGACGTCAACCCTCCTTGGAAATTCTAGCGAATTTATATATGTCTATTCTAATATGTTTTATAACTAGTAGATACACCAATACAGTTACGCAACTTAATAATAGGCACACACTCAAAATAATATCAAAAAGGAAACAAATGCAGTTCAAAAAATAATTCAGCAAGGAGATTAGAAGCCGATGCATCTGTACTTGTTCCAATTTCATTAACATGGCTTAAGGCCACTGCACATATCTTCGAAATATTTATTTTATCATTTTAAATTATGTACGTTTCCTAACGATGTTTTTTTTTTCACACGTGATAAGCCAGTATTTAAAATTGCTATTAACAGTTTCATTACTGCCGCCACCGGAACTGAACTCAGGTGGCGTCAGTATATTGAATTAAAACCGAGCTCGCTATGATTTAGGCCACGAGAATACAGCCAGTAGTGAAACAAAATATTTTTTGTTTCATTTTGTTTTGTAAACTCCAGTTCCAGTTGTTTAATTTGCTTCAGACATATGTGACAAAACTAACGACGATAAAACATATCGTGTCCATCCCGTGACCAGGAACACTGTAAAGTGTCCTATTTTCCCGATATTCCTGTACTTTGAGAACAAAATTAACACGTTATGTATTCCGAAGTGACAACCTGTGGAAGTGTGATATGGGTGGACGCAGGTGGCTCAGGATTTTGCTTCGTGGCAGTCTATGGGGGAGGCTATGTTCAGCAGTGGGCTCAAACAGGCCTCAAGATGATGATGATTGATAGCACGGCAAATTGACAGGCAGAGTCTAATAAAAAAATAACTTGGGATCCAAAGATTCACTAAGGAACTTGTTTAAAGAAATAAAAATATTGACTGTAGCTTCTCAGTACATACTTGCTAATGTTATGTATGTCCACAAAAATAAGAATGACTTTTCAAGATTTAGTAATGTGCATGATGTAAATACTAGGAACAAGCGTAAATTAGTTCTACCCTCAACTAGACAATGTATACGCTTTTACAACAAAATCCCAGAAAACGTTCAAATTGAATCCGTTGCTAAATTCAAAAAACTTGTAAAGGAACGTTTGTGTGTCTATGGCTATTATAGTATTAGTGATTATTTGAATTATAACACACTCTGGAAATGAATTCATCGCTCCAGGTTCTTTCAAGTGGAATTTAATAAATTGTACACATATTTGTAACTTTTTTTTGTCAAGTTAAAAAAAATGTCCCCCTGAATTTATTACGCCAGTTCTTCTCAGGTTTCCTTCCGAACCGGTGGTAGAGTTTTTTGACTATCAATAAGTAAGTGTATGCTTCTATATTGAATAGTGATATTTGACGTCGACTTTGACTTTAATGATTAAGTGTACTTAAGCTTAAACATAACCAGCGTTCTGCACACACTCATGCAAGCTTATTGATCGCTCCTCAGCCAAGTTACTAAATCCCGGGCACTGTCTCACTTGAAAAGTTCATTGGCTGTTGGCAAACCGAAATTAGCGTTAATGTCACATGTTGTTACAAAGAGCGACCCAAGTGGCGCAGTCACGAGCCTCGATGCGAGGACGCGTTGCCTTTACCTGAGGGCGGCGCTGTACACGACTCAAGCCGGTATATGGGATTTGTGGAGTTAGCTTTTTTGTGGTTTGTATCTATTAAAGTTTTTGTCGTACGCCTATTGAAAGTGTTAACGATTTCTCTTACATACTAGATATAGATTGGTTCATAGATGATATAATCAATTTCATATGTGATTAGCAATCGAAGACTTTCAATAAGGTAATATAAATATTCGAAATACAACATTCTGTTCTCGTTTATAAAATAAGCTTAAAAATTGAACTGTTTTGAATACTAATCGGAATATCTTGAAGAGGATGTAATACACAGACACTTAATGCATAAAAATCTGCTTAAATTTAGGGATTTTGTTTAAAGGCGATAAGGGATTTCCCGTATGATTTAAAATGTTTAAAGAAGCAGAAAAGAGAGTAAAGCGATATGGAAAACGTTCGCACATCCTGCAATCTTGGGAAAAACCGGTGAGGTTTGGTACATGTATTAACTGATATAATAAAATACCTAAGTGTCATCCAGCAACAACTAAGTGAAAACAATTACAAAACATTTTGTAAAAGCTACCCTAATGAAAGGGACCTATTATAATATCAAAGAATACATTGAGGACAAGGATGTGTGGAAATGACTCTTGCTCTGCACTTGCAAGTCAGGGGACTTTGTTGCTGCTGATTTTATATCTAAATAATATTGTATACTTATGTATACACTTGCTTTTAAAAATAAAATTAACTAAAAATGTCAAAATACGTTCAAACTCAACAGCCCATCGATTAAGTGGTTCTTTAAGAAAGATCTAATCATTCTTTCAGTGGACTTATTATACGCTTTTCTCTTCGAGTTCAATGAATCTTTTAACGTTTAAATAACTATTATTTGATAGATGGTAGAAGAAAATCGTTCATTTAAATTGTTAGAAATCTGGACCATAAGGCTCGTCCGGGGAAATACCAAGGTCTCGCAGAAGAATTTGGAGTGTGAGCCACGCACGCAGCCTCGGCTGCTGCTCGAATAGGCAGGCTCGTTCGGGTAAGTACCACGACCTCACAGAAGACCGGCGTAAAGTGGAAGTATGACAAATACTTTCGCGTTTCGTCTGGTGAGTGGGGTAGCCGGAGCCCAATTTTCAAAAGGTTGTCAACGCATCTGTAACCATCGGGTGTAGCAGATGTCCATGGGCGGCGGTATTCATTTACCATCAGGTGAACCGTCTACACGTTTAGCAACCTTTCCCATAAAAAAAAAATAGTTAATGACAAAAAAAAAATACTTAATGATAAAGTTGGCAACGCATCTGCCAAAGGTGTTCCTGACGTCCATTGGCGATGTCACTTGACACATCAAGTGAACATGCGGTTCGCCTGATGTTAACTGATCTCGCTTGCCACCTTCTTAAAGAAATATGTGTTTCTATAACACCAGTTACCTCACTCAACCACAAAATACGAAAGCACAAGTACTTATTCTATTGTCGCGTGATTAAAAACATTTCATCAGACGAACGCAAAATGTTCCACTTATTTGGGGACAAATCTCTC